GAGGACGGGGTGCTCTCCGCGAATGGGGGGGTGCTGTGTGCGGGGTCCCGAGAGGAGGCGCCCGGGCTCGGGGCGCGGGACGGGGAGGCCGGGGGGGCGTGGGCGAGGAGAGGGGGGGCGACCCGGGGGAGCGGGGGGGGAAAGAGGGGGAGGGACTTGATTGAGGAGGAGGCGGTGGGGGGGGAGGGTGGAGAGGAGGGGGGCGTGTCTGGGGAGATGGGGGATCGGGGGGGGCGGGTGGAGGAGGGGGCGGTTCGTCGAGTGGGGCGGGGGGTGGGGGTGGGAAGCGGCCCCCGAGGGGCAAACATCGTAAAACAAGCAATCAGAGGAGGGCTGCCCGGCGTGAGGGGTGGGCGGCCGGACTCGGGCATTAAGAGTGTGATGGGGAGGGGACGATGGGGGGGACGCAGACGAAAAGCTGGCGAGAGTCTCGGGATACGTTGTTCGCTTCTGTAGTACGTGTCAAAGTTGCTATGCCTGCCTTTTTTCACCTGGAAGAGCCCCCGCTCCTCCTCCCCCCCCCCCTCCCCCTCCTCCACCGGGCCCGGTCCGGCCGACACGGCGCACGTTACACTCTCGGGGGCCCCGGTCCCCTGCAGGTGAGGGAAAGGCACAACTCAGAACGATGGGCTTGCCCATCCCGGAGTGGTTCGATCCCACATAAACCCGAGACGGTGACGGGAAGCGTCGCTGCGATCTCAGGCCCAGTGAGGCAGTGCAGGGCTTGCGGACCACTCCTCCCTGCTTCTCTTCCCGGGAGCAGCTGTTGAAGCGGCAGACACGTCCGTTTTTCCCATCGCTGTCCATGCTCACACCCGCCCTCGAGCGGGCCGAGGCCGCGGTTGACGCCGCGTATGCGCTGCACGACGAGTCCTACGCTCCGCCTGCTGACCGGCTCGCGGCGATGCAGGCCGCGCGCGCCGAGGCGGAGGCTGTCATCGCCTCTGCGGCCTCGCTCGCCGGGCAAAGCAAAGACAGCGCGGTCGAGGCGCGGCTGCAGTACCTGCGCGGCAAGGCGGCGACGTGCGGCCCGGACGGACGCGGCTCGGCCGAGGCGGAGCAGCTGCTCGCCGTCGCCGTGAAGCTCGACCCGTCGCTCGACGGCGCCTGGAACGCCATCGGCGAGTGCTACTGGCAGCGCGGCGACCTGGAGGCCGCGCGCGGCTGCTTCCTCGGCGCGCTCGCGCACAGGCGGTCGGCCGCGTCGCTCTGCCACCTCTCGATGCTCCTCCGCCTCATTGCGCGCCGCTCGGCTCCGGACGAGGCGAGGGCGGGTGTGCTCGAGTCGCTCTCCCTTTCCTAGACCTTTCCTAGACCTTTCCTAGACCTTTCCTAGGCGAGGGCGGGCGTGCTCGAGTCGCTCTCCCTCGCGCGCGAGGCGGTGCGTCTCGAGGCGTCGCAGGGCGCCTGGTTCTCGCTCGGCAACGCGCAGCTCGCCGTGTACAACACGTGCACCGCCGGCTCCGAGGAGCTCCACCGCGCCGGCAAGGCCTTCACGCAGGCCTGCTCGCGCCTCGCGCCCCCCGCCTCGCGGCCCCGCCTCTAGGAAAGGTCTAGGAAAGGTCTAGGAAAGGTCTAGGCCTCGCGGACCCGCCTCTCGCTTCACGCCCCGCGCTCACGCCTCCGTCCCACGCCCTCACGTGCAAGCCAACCCTGCAGGCTTCGCGGGTGGGCGGCGGCTCCTCCGAGGGAGCGATGGGCGCCGACCTCGCGATGAACCACGGCCTCTCCCTCTTCTTGCTCGAGGCGCTCGAGCCCGCGATGGAGGCCTAGACCTTTCCTAGACCTTTCCTAGACCTTTCCTAGACCTTTCCTAGGCGCTCGAGCCCGCGATGGAGGCGTACGCCACCGCTCACTCGCTCGACCCGTCTGTCGGAGCGGACCGGATGCGGCACGAGGTGTGGGAGTACTCTAACCCCAACCCCAACCCTACTAACCCTAGCCCTAACCCTAAACCCTAACCCTAACCCTAACCGGGTGCGGCACGAGGTGTGGGAGTACGCGCGCCGCGTCTCGGACGCCCTCGGCGCGAGCGGCGGCGGAGGCGGGCTCAAGCAGCGCCGTGTCCCCCTCCCGGAGCCTCCTCCACCCTCGGCCGCGGAGGACACCCACCCGCGCGCGGACGTGCAGCAGCTGCGCGCCGGCGACAACCCGGGCGTGCGGCTGCGGCTGCGGCTCCTCGCGCCGCTGCCCGAGTCGCCGCAGCGGCTGCACCGCTCCTTCGCCGCCGCAGACCGCTCCGGCGCCGTCGTCGCGCTCGCGCTCTTTGGCCACAACCTGCCGCCGGCGCTGCGAGGCTAGCCCTGGCCCAAGCCTCCGTTTCTAGCCCCAGCCCTCGCCCTAGCCATCGCCCTAGCACCAGCCGAGAAGGCCACCTAACATTGCCTTCCCTCACCCCACCTTAGGCCCGGCGGCAAAGGGCGCCACCGTGGAGGTGGAGGCGCCGTCGCTCGTGCGTGCGAGCTGCGAGCCGCCGGTCGGCGGCGGCGAGGGGCAGCGCGTGGCCTACGACTGTCTCCTCTCCTCGTGGTCCAGCCTGCGGGTAGTGAGCGCGTGATGGATATGACATTGGCCGTGCGACACTTTCTTATCGTGCCTTTTGTAGTGCCAGTCCGAGCCAGTCTGCTGTGAGAGGCGCTTGTATAGTAAAATTCTTACCAGAGACAAAGAAAACTCCGCGCCGAACCACATAAAACACACATACACACACATATGCCACCATGCCGCGCCGCGCTCCTCGTGGCAGCAGCCTGCCAACTCGCCGGCGCGCAGTTCGGCAACCTGGCGGTGGATTGGGGCACCGATGGGTCCGCGAAGTTGAGCAGCAGCAGCAGCAAGGTGGCGTCGACCGCCAAGGTGGTGGCGGGCGAAACGCGCAGAACCAACCTCGCGGAGCTCGCGGCGCAGGGGGTCGGCAGGCTGAGAGAAGTCGTCGAGTCCTTTGAGATGGGCGGGTGCGACGCGTGCACTGCAGACGGTCACTGGGTGGCCAAGGCGCGCGAGCCTGACCCGCCCTCGCCCGCGCGCACTCGCCTTCGAGCAGGGCGCGCCTGCGGTCGCAGGTGAGGCAGTGCATCCTCGAGATGCAGACCAAGCAGCTGCGCTCTCAGCTGCAGCTGCGCGGTGTCCCGTGCGAGTCGTGCACTCAGCGCGAGCAGTTCATGGACAAGCTGCTAGACCACGTGCACCTCCCGGTGGTGAACACTGACACGTGAGCCGCCTCGGCCCGCTGCTGCAGAGGCCTGGGGCTCCCCTCAGTCGAGCTGTGCGAGCGCGAGGGAGCGACAGCGAGTGAAAGCGCGAAAAAGAAAGCCGCTCAAAAAGCCTCTGCATATACACCCCAGGGAGGACCAGGCGCTCTCGATGGACTTGGCCCTCTGCACACAACCTCTCGACTCTTAACTATATTGTGCTATTGCGCCACCGATGGCCCGCCTTCTAAGGCATCGCCCAGCCCCCCGGTTCCTCGGGGCGTGGGCCGACCCCCCACGTGCGCCTCGCGGGGTCGCGATACCGCCCGAGAGCATACTCTGGCACGTTCGACCACGAAGTGACTCCGCGAGCGGCGGCGTCGTACGCGTCGGGCCCGAGGGGCGTGGAGACGAAGCCGACACGCTCGAGCCGGGGGCCGAGGTGCAGCCGCTCGTCGGCAAAGAAGGCGTGCGGCAGCTTTGCGCCGGGCGGCAGCTCGCTCGCGCTTGGCAGCGAGAAAGCGAGCGCACACTCATAGTCCGTCCCTTCCAGCGGGCTGCGGCTGGGAGGGACGGCAAACCCGTTGTGGGCACCAAACCCGTTGTAGACAAAGTGGACGCGAGCGCCGGCTCTGCAGCGGGGTGGGGCGGGCGAGAGCGGGCACGGCATTCAAGGTTCGAGGCCCAACTGCCGGCGCATCTCGGCGCATCTCGGCGCATCTCGGAGTGAGGCACAGGCCTGCGGACCACCATGTCATCGAAGGCGAGGACACAGCAGTGGTGGCCGGGACCGCGCTCGAGGTATGCATGCCTGCGCCATGCGGGATGCGACCCGAGATGACCCGAGATGACCCGAGATGCGCCGGGGATTAGCCGGGCCCGCGCTCGAGGCACGCGCGCCTCAGACGGAAGTGCGTGGGCGTGACACGGAAGAATGGCGTGAAAGCCGCCCGGACGAGGGGCGCGCGCCGTTTCGGGCGCGCGATGTGGTTCCGATGTGGTTGCACTCGGCGGCTCCCGGCGACTCCCGGCGGCTCCCGGCGACTCTCGGCTAGTCTCGCCGCTTCGGGCGTGCGATGTGGTAGCCCGTGGTGAGGACCTGGCCGTGACCAAGGTACGCGCGGCGGCGGGCGACGGCGGGGACGGAGACGACGAGCGCGGTGCTCTCTGCGGGCCGCAGGTCGCGCTCCCCGTACGCGTCGACGACAACCTCGATGAAACAACACTCTGCCTTGGTACAGCCAGGGAGAGCGACGTGCAACTAACCCCTCCTCGCATCGACGGCCACCTCGACCTCGCGCCGCGCGCGGTTCCAGGCGACGAGCTGCAGCCGCGCCTAATCTCGGCCCACCTCGGCTCACCTCGACGCATCTCGGCTCACCTCGGCTCATCTCGGGAGATGGGCAGGCGAGCTGCAGCCGCGCCTCGTAGTGGGCCTGCGCGGCGCCGCCCATTGCCCTGCCCGAGTGCTTCCACCTCGAGGACTGGCCGTCGACCGCGACCGCCCACATGCCGCCTGTGCGCGTGGAGGTGTGACGAGGGTCGGACGAACCAGTCTCACGAACAGCTCCCGCTCTCTTCTCCCGCGAGGGATGGTGTGATTGAGAGGGTCCACAAGTCCGCCTGCCGCGTTGTCGCTTGCGAGCAGCGCACGCCAGCCCCTCTTCAGGTTGCCGGGTAAAAAGCTGCCGCTTCGCTGCGCCGCGGCAATCGTGGCGGGAGGGTACCGCCGCCGCGCGTGCGCCTCGTACACATCCTGAGCGACAAAGCGCCACTCGCGGCACACAGCGAGCGCAGACAGGTCGCGGCAGGCGCAGTGCTGCCCGAGAATATGCACGAGCAGCTCTCGCGGGAGTGCTTGCATTTCTCCCGTGAACTCGGTAGCCTCGAGCAGATCCGAGCCCTCGGCGGCCTCCGCGCGAGTGATTGTGCCCTCACTCTCCTCGGCAACTTCGCTCTCCTCGGCAACTTCGCTCTCCTCGGCAGCTTCGCTCTCCTCGGCAGCTTCGCTCTCCTCGGCAGCTTCGCTCTCCTCGGCAGGTTCAGAATCCTCTTCGACGGTGCGGATGCTACAAACTGAGAACGCCATTATGCCGTCCCGGGAGCTCGTTCGCTCTGTCAGTGGCTCCATGGTCCGGGCTGGTGTGGGAGGAAGCGAGCGGCTGTCCAGCGAGGTGGCCTCGTTGCCCTCGACGACCGTCTCGGCCAGAACACTGACCGCCCTGGATACAAGCCTCTCTCACAGCACACTGGCACGACAAGGGCGCTGACTGGCGCGGCCCGGCACACACCGGCACAAGAAAAACGTCGGCAACTTGAACCGACCGCCCGCCGTCGCCCGCCACGACCCGGCCACGCAAGCAAGCTGCCAGGTGCGGTCAAAGAGCCCGCCTGCCTGCACCCCGCAGAATGCGCGGCGTGACGAGTCCCTCCTGCAGCGAGCCGCCGGTGGTGCCATTCGATGATGACGACGACCCCATCGAGGCCGCCGCTTCCGACATGCTCCACTCGCGATCGCGCCTTGCGGGAGTGGAGGTCCGCAGGCTCAGGATGGAGGAGCGGAGAGTGGTGCTGGCAGAACCGCGGCCAGACGGGATATCGCCCACGGTGCCCATTGCACCGCCGGCCAGCGACGACCCATTTGAGCTCGGTGACTTCATGGCCACTCCGGCACGCCGTGCTCCCGACCAGCCGAGCGGGGCCAAGGGTGCCGCTGCCCGATCGACTCGTCCGACCTCGAGCACTCAGCGCTCTGCTTCTCAGGCTTGCAAAGCCGGGATCCACAGAGGTGTGCACTTCGGCAAGCTGCAAGATGAGTCGAGGACAGATCTGCCACGTGCACCCGCTTGCTGGCTTCCGAGAGGCAAACCCTCTGCCCTCTCCGGCTTCGTGCTCGTGGGACTCGTCCTCCTGTTCGTCACCTCTTCCCAATCGCCGCCACCGCCGCCGCCGCCGCCGCCGCTCTTGCCGCCGCCGCTCCCGCCACCGCCCCCGCCGCCGTCGCCCCTCCCTCCTTCCTCACCCGCGCCGGCGCCGCCTCCCTGGCCAGAGCCGCCGCCGCCGCCACCGCTGCCTCCCTACGGCGGGATCGTCCGCGGGGACGACAGCCCGATCAGTACGAGGCAGTGCCTGAGCCTCATCAACCGCCAGCCGCGGCTGCGTCTAGTGCAGCTGCCGTCCTCCCCGCCGCTGCTGTGGTGCCCGACGCCACGCGCGGGCACCACGACCACCGAAGGCCTCTTTGCGCACGTGTTCAACCGCACGCGCTGCCGGACGTGTGGAGCGTTCCAGTTTTCCGACGTCCTCGTGCAGGATCTCACCCCAGCGGAGCACCAGCGCGTGTGCATGCAGCCCGGCGTGAGGAGCTTCACCACGATCCGCAACCCATTTGACCGTCTCATCTCAGCCTTCATCTGCAAGGTCGTGCTCGCGCAGGCGCCAGCCAATTGTGGCGGCGGCGGGGACGCCAGCCTAATGGTTCGGCGCGAGACACCCGGCAGGCGCGGCGCCAGGGTGGTGGAGGACGTCTCGTTTGATCAGTTTGTCCGCACGATTGTGCGGCGAGGAGCCAGCGCGCTGGAGGCCAACGTTCACTGGCGGAGCGCGAGTGCGCTCTGCGGCCCAGAGTCGATGCCGTATTCCCTCGTTGGCCGCGCGGAGTCCCTGGAGGATGCCCTCGCCACCGTTGGCCGGTGGCTGGGCTGGCCGAGCCAGTGGGTGGAGGAGGCGATGGTCCGCGAGTGGAGCAACCCCTGCGCCAAGGACGAGTTTTGCTCGGAGAGGTACCTGGCGCGCTTTGTCAATGCGACGCGGCTGGAGACGAGGCAGCGCTTCTTCTCGGACCCACAGACGCGCGCGCTCGTGGAGGCGGCCTACGCCGCCGACCTGGCGCTCGGGGGGTACGACTTCTCGGACGGTGGATGACGGCCCCCGTCGTTGCTTTGAGGGCGTGTGTTGAGGTCGCGGTAAGGTTAACTTCTCCACACACACGAAGTGTGTCGTGGGGGGGGGCGTGTTCGTGCTAATTTGCCGCGATTGTTTTCTTTTTTCGCGCGTGCGGATCACGCTGGGTGACAAAGAGGTGCTCTGGCGGCGAAGTAGCAAGTTGACCGACCCACACACGAATTGCTCGAATGGCCACGCGGCTTTCCAGCGCGCGGCAGCATATCCGATCGCGACGCTCGGAGGGTCGCCTATCGCAGTGGTGGCGGAAACAAGCACGACGTGCGATGAGGCCAACGCTCGTATGCAGCAGCGCATATCTCGCATCAGAGGCTGCAGAAACCATTTTGTTCAGCAAACGTGCATGATCTCGCTCGCTCAAGGTGGGTGTAAAATCGGCTCCAGCCGCCGTATGAGCCCGCAGCGCCTGAGGCGTATCGCGTATCGTCGTCGCTCCCCAATCTGTCGGCAGTGGTCCACCTTCAGGTGTATATTCGTGCGAGCCAGAGGGCCCAACTTCAGAATCGTGCTTTTTTGGGTTACATGTAGGGACGAGCGCGAAGGACCGATTGCGGTGAAGGACCGCAGGTTAGGGACCGATCGCCGCCGCTCACGCCAGCGGACGGTCTTCGTCAGTGATGTTAGCTACGCCACCGTCTACCTCGTGCGCAATGCGCTCGCCGGCATCGAGCGAGCAACGTGTTCGACCGAGCGGCTTGCTGTGCGGACGGCTTCTTGTGGCTCTCGTCGAGAGCGTTTTGCGGCCCGGCGGGTGGGAGAGCATGTGTCGTCTGATGTGTCACTGTGTACGTCATATCAGTCTTGATAACAAGTACGGTCGATCCGTCAAAGCGATACACTCGTCACGATCACGTTGGACGGCTTGCACAGAGCTCTGTGCCGGCACGCATCAGGAAGACCGCCGTACGGCAAGAAGAGCTCGATGGGGAGCGAGAACCGTCAGAGGTGCTCACGGAGGTTTCGGAAGTCCGCCATGGTGCGGACAGTTCCCCCCAGGTTTGACTGCGTAGGTGCGCACAACTCGCTGAGTCCGCTACACTCTGTTCTGCGCCTATCGTCTGGGGACCGCCCATGCC